TTTGTTTTCTTGAATCCTTAACTATGATTTATAGTTTTAATTTTTGCCTTGCCTTAGAAAGTAGGGAGTATTCATATTATGATGATGGTTGAATTCAAGTTGGGGAGAGAAATTTTTATATGCTTATGTTATAATTTTTATGAGGTTGTAAAAGAAAGAAAATAAAAAGAAAAAACAGAGAAAGAAAAAGAGAAGAAAAAGAAGAAGAAAATTGAAAAAGTTTTGAAAAAGAAAAACAATAAGAGTATGGAATAATGTTGTGTTAATAAGTATTGTGATTGGTTTGTGAACTTTGGAATGAAGAAGTTTGATTAAAATTGTGTTGCTTGAGTCTTTGTGATTTGATCACTCCCTTAGGTTAATGCAAGTTTTTGTTTCGATTAGCTTTAGGACTTATCCCTTGTTTTCTAACCAAGCCACATTACAACCTTGAAAAGCCCTTGTTATTCTTGCTTTTATGTCTTCAACATGAATTTTTGGATGAGTGTATAATTTAATCTTTTGTTTGCAAAGTTGTTGGATGAGTGAAAATAAATAATTTTGTGTGTTTGTCACCTACTGATGATTGATTTTGCTAGTGTGATTCATTTGTGAACTAGTATTTATTTAGAATGTTTGGAACAATTTTTGTATTTAACATTTGTTTCGTGTTTATGTTATAATCATAGTTTAGTAGTAAGTGTTTACTTTGTCTGTATTATTTTTCATTTGAACCATTGCATTTGTTCTCCATTTTTAAAACTTTTCGATTCGTGATTCTTTGGTTGATCGTTTTAGTTTCTTTGAGTTGTTTGTTTGTTGTTTAGGGACAAACAAGTTCAAGTTATGGAGAGTTTGATAAGTGCATATTGTATATATTTTTGTATATACTTTTTGTTGCACTTATCGACTCTTTGTGGTTAATATTGATTTAATAAATCCAAATTTTGGGTAAATTTGTTTAGTTTTTATATATTTGTGTTTTCATGTATATAGTGTATCGTTTGATAGTTTTGTATTCCTTTTGTAGGTATTTTAGTATTATTGGAGCAAGAGGAATAAAAGCTCCAAGATGTATTATTGGATCAATAAAGGAATAAGGCAAAGAAGAGAGAGCCATTTGAAGTTGTGCAGAGAAAGCAACAAAAGTTGATGGGATGGTGTGCATCTTTGGGCGATGGCCGGGCGAGCTGTATCGCGTCTGCGTCACCGGGAGACGGTGGAGCAATGGGATGGAGTCAATTTTCTAGTTGCGTCTTCCTTGCTTCGCTACCGTGTTGCAGTTGATGCGGTATATATCGACAAGCAAAAATTAAAGTATTATTTTTATCGGGTGATATTTAGGTTATATCATATCATCTCCACAGGGATTGGTGTATTGAATTATTGTTCGACAAATCATTCGTTAATGAGTTTGGGGATAAATGGTTTGGTTTGTATAAAAAGGAAAATAAGTGAACATAAAAGTTGTACACACAAGAAGAATTTCATCATTCAAATAGGATAGAACTCTCGAGTTTGTATTTCATCTACCATATCACATACTTAAGCTTACTACCCAGTTGCACTTAACCTTAACCACTCGTCAATATCATCATGTATCTCTCACACATAGGTCATTTATAACACAGAGCGAGATATCAACCGTGTCGCTCCATGTCGACGATCTCTCAGCACAACACGAAACAACACGGAAGCATTAAGAGTCGATACCTAAGTGATTACTAAGCCTAAATTTATCTCTAGAATCTAAGCCCAGTAGATATTCATCCTAAATCCGGATTCAATCCGTCCATCTCTACGACGACTAAAACCCAAACACTTAGCAAGCTAACAAGGATAAACATCAATAAAGATTTGTAAAGAAAGTTTCATACAACAACATGAGCAATAAATATACATATAATCAAGGTAAAGTTACATATAAAATTCAACAAATAATGGTTACAAAGAGAGGAAGAGGAGAAGAAACCAGATTTCCCGTGGTGTCAAATACGATCCATCAAGCTCACGGCCCCAGATTGTCATACCCCAAATTTGCCCTACCCACTTTACTTTTATCTGGTTTAGGCTTCACATTTCATTTGTATCATTTCCACTAGATCATTCACATATCATACATTCCTAAGGCATGAGTTCAAAATCAGAGGTTGTGCCAATTAGGGTTTCCATTGGTTTGAGATTTCCTCAGTTAAAATAAAGGTAGACTCATCTGGTTTTTCTCTTGAGCAGTGGACTTGTTAAATAGGGTTTTGATACCGTGACTATCTAGAGCATCATTTCCTCGATATGTAAAGTTTTCTCCCTCCGTCATTGCAAGCATTCTCTTTACCGAGGATCACCATACCATTTTCTTCATTCAGTGGGCATCTCAGGTGGATTAGGGGTTTGCGTCCTTCATGTATGGGTTGGTTGAAGTCCATCAATACAGATGTTAGGGTTGTCACTTGCATGTTCTCAAGGGTTAATCAATGGTTTCAATCAAGATCCTGATTTAGGGTTTATTTCCTTATTTTTAATCATGAGATTAGAGTTTCATTTCAAAGAGAGTTATCCTTCTATGCTTCAAGCCTTATTTATCTTTTCACAAGGATATCCTTTTAAGGTTTTGTTTTGTGAAGAGGGACTTCACCAAAGTAAAGGTTTGTGGTTCGAGTTCCAAAAGTTTGACGCGTGATACAAGAGATGTTGATTGTAGACTCATTTTATGATCAAGGTTTCATTAAGAAGTGAAGTTGGATTCATTCATTCAAGAGATATTTTGATTAAGGTTTTAAGCACGCAAGAAGGAGGAATTCATTCACGAGGTTCTCTTGGAAAACAAGATGCAAGTGTTATAGTTCAACAAAAAGTTACATGCTTCAAAGATTCAAATTCAAGATATATTTAGGTTTGCCCAAACTTCAAAATATCATTTCACACTACTCCTCTCATCATTTTCAATTTCATCCAAGAGTATTCATCAAGATCAAGCCAAATTTCATTCGTCTCAAGTCAAGGCATTTTCAAGTTTTCAAGGCTTACGTTCACCATGGCAAGGGTTTGATTCATGATAAAAGTTGTTGAGATTGAGGATTATTTTGTGATACATTGGTTGTTTAGGAGGCAAGTTAACTGGGATTGAAATTTGGGATTAGGGTTTTGGGTTTGATTTGATTTTGATCAAAGTTTTCAAGGCATTGTGATGTTCATCGAGACTTTGATTCATGCTAAGAATTGAAAGAATCATGTACTTGGATTTCTTGTCAAGCAAGTAGCTTAGGTCTTAAGTCACTTCATTATGTCCATCCATTTCATTCATTAGATATTATCCATCATGTTCACGTTCGTCATAATCGTTTCAAGGCCATTCGGATTTTGTGCATCATGTTCATTCAAGAGGCTATAAACATGACTATTTCATGTTCATTCAACCATTTTTGAAGGCCAAACAAGTTGTTTATTTCAAGTCCATATCTCATGGAAAGTTCAAGTTCAATGTTCAAAATTTCATGATCACTTCAAATCCTTTTCCAATTCAAGATCAAATGTTCAAGCTTATGGTAAGGCTAAGGAATGTGTTATTTCATGCCATTTCAAGCTACCAAGTATGCTCATGTCCATGTGATGATGAATCAAGTTAATGCTAGGCTGTCCAACATGTGCAAATCAATCCAAAAGGGATTCAAATTCAAATTCAAATTTACAAGATACAAGGAACCCCAAAGATCATTCAAGAAAGGATGAAAATTTTAAAAGGAATATTGAAAGGAAAGATTCATTTTAATCCTAATTTTGAAAAAGAAATTCAATACATTTTAAGTAAAAGTCATTACAACTTCATTCAATGTCACATACAAATTATCCAAGCTACAAAACTACAAAAATCTACACCATGAAAACTTAATCCTAATTCTAAGATCCATGTCCAAACTTCATGCCCAAAGGTTCACACTTCTTAAAGCTTTCAAGTCCCTATTCCAAGATAACAAACCATATTTCAAAGCCATCAAACCTCCCTGCATCAGCCTGCAAAACAGTCCCAAAACAATGTCAAAAATCAGCCTTGTATCATACTGTCAAACCTGAACAAAATAAGTCCCAAAATCTGTACCCAAAAACCCTTCAAAACAGTCCAAAAGGCCATTTGCTACTGCTGCCCATATCACTCTAAAATCTGTCAAAACCTGCATAACATAGCTCTGCAACATAAACCATAAAACCTGTTACTGCTATCCCAAATTAGTCGAAAAACCTGCATAAAAACAGTCCAAGAATTGCACAAGAATGTATCATACAAAACTGCATCAAGAAAGCAACAGAGCAGAGAAACAAATATGTTCTAGACTCATCAATTCCCCCCCCCCCCCAAAAAAAAAAACCTCTTCTTTAAAACTATAAAAGCACCCTTTTGTTCCTATTATTACACAGAGAACACAAAAAAAAACACAATCTGATACCAATGATAAACCACTTCCAACCTCCCTCGTCAAACTCTCTGCTTTAACCCTATTGTAAACCTACTACAACCATTGACCCTCAACACCATTCTTCTCGCCCTTAACAATACTCTGCTCCTAGCCTTTATCATAAACAGAAAATACACCTTTGTACTGCTTCATCACGAAGCATCACCATCATCTTCATTCTCAAACAACACCACCACTTACAACAATGACAACATAACATATTTCAAAGCTCCATGCCAAAAAGGTTCACACTTCTTCAAGCTTTCAAGCCCCTATTCCAAGCTAACAAACCATATTTCAAAGGCATCAAACCTCCCTGCATCAGCCAGCAAAACAGTCCAAAAACAATATAAAAAATCAGCGTTGTATCATACTGTTAAACCTGCACAAAATCAGTCCAAAATATGTGCCCAAAAACCCTTCCAAACAGTCTAAAAGGCCATCTGCTACTGCTGCCCATATCACTTCAAAATCTGCATAACATAGCCCTGCAACATAAACCATAAAACCTACTACTACTGTCCTAAATGAGTCCAAAAACCTGCATAAAAATAGTACAAGAATTGCACAAGAATGTATCACAGAAAATTGCATCAAGAAAGCAAAGCAACAAATCTATTCCAACCTACAAATCTATTCATTGCAAACTCCATACACTTCACAAAAACCTACAAATCCTTCAATAGCCCTTGCAACCGAAAACAACCATCCAACACCCTCTATTTCTCTCTACTACATAACATAACACTACTAACCCACACTGACCATACACACAATAATGCACCAAAACATACACAGAGCACAAAACAAAATCAACAACACCATAGCATTTCCATATTCAGAGTAAAGAATAGATGAAGAAGGATTAAAGCCAAGAACAAACAAGAGAGCAGAATCGATGCCAAAACACACCTGAGTATCTAAACTCTCCGTCACATTGGAACCCTTGGGTCTTCAATCAGGTCTACTTCGCTTTCGTTCTTGCTCCATTGCATAAGCTTTATCTTCTCTGATCTATACTCCCTCCATTAAAGTCGAACCCGTGAGATTCTTTTAGAATTAGTTTTTGCTCTGTTTCCTTTGATCCATGATTGAGAACTCTCTATGTGAATCGATGGTGGAGTATCATACAAGGAGAGATAGTAGGCTAGGGCGGTGAGTTGAGCAGGAGAGGATGACAATGAAGTCACCGGTAGCTGCGAGAGGTGAAGGCGGATGAAATATATTGTCTGGTGGTGTGAGGCAGCATAAGGAGAAGACAAATTGAAGCTTTGTCGTTGTTCGCATTTGAGAGAGAGTTGAGTTGTGAATTTCGATCGTCACCACCTTTGAACCCTAAGTTCCCAAAATGCCACCATTTTACTCATTTTCATTTTCTTTCATTGTTTTTGTTAATAATAATAAATCTTAAATGAAACAATCAGGTGGACTTGGTATTGTTATAGATATGGGCTGTCCATCCTTCCCCATAGGCCCATTTTTATTTCTTTTGTGTAGAGCTTGGACTGCATACAAAAAAAAAGCTTGAATGCTTGTAACAAAAATAACCATGCTAGACCATAGGTTGAATGGGCCTAACACCTTGAAGGCTATTCACACTCCTGGGCTTGACTTCATACCCCCCATCTGTTTCAAATATTTTGTTTTCCTTATTAGTTTTTGTTCTTTTCATGATTTTGATTATAGTTTTTTTTGTAACATTAGTAATAAAAATTAAATAACAGAATATATTAAAATTTCATTAGGATTTTATCTTTACAACTTAATTAGGATTGCTTTCTTTCTTTAGTTAATTGTGATTAATTTTGTACGTGACTTTTGGTTATCATTTTGTGTACTATTGTAATTTCAATGACTTGGTTGATATGGTTCTTATTGCTTATTGCCATGCTCCCTTAGGATATTTTAAAAAAATCTTAATCTCTTTATTAAATCTAATTAATTAGACTTTAGGACCACCATTTCATGATAACATTAGGGCTCTAGTCTCCCTTAGATTTTTTTCATTCCCCTTTTGTATCTTTAAAACTAAAATCTCTTTTCTTATTCAAAAATCCAAACAAACACTTAATCATTATTCAAACTCATTCCCCACTTAACAAAAACACTCAAAAAATCAAATATTTCTTCAAAAGGGCACGCTATCTCTGTTCTACTACGATACAGGCCGTGCCTATTGCTACAATGTATGCGCTAACATCGCCTACTAAAATACACCAACAAACCAACATTTTCTAGAAGAACTACGGTGTTCTGATTCCTTCACGGAATACGTAGGCAAAGGGTTACGAGACCCTCATGAACGCACTAATAAAAACCATCTCATTTCCCTTAGAAAGTATAGTTTTAGATAGACGCACCCTTAGAAACAAAAAATTGAAATGGATCTCATTGAGTACAATGAACGTGAGGGGTGCTAATACCTACCCCTCGCATAATCGACTTCCTTACCCTCTCTTTTGGTTACAAGACCATCTTATCCATCATCTTGGGATTTTCTCGATATTTTCCCTTCCTTCGGGGTAAATAAAGTTCGGTGGTAGCTCTGCATTTTTAGCCGGTCACTTCAGCCGGCGACTCTGTTGGGGATCTCATGCGAGTGTTTCCTAGTTTTGTTTGTTTGCTTCTTTGGGTGTTTATTTATTTACTTTATTTTCTTTACCGCGTTATTTCTTTATTGCTTTATTGTTTTATTTTGTATATATTGCATTTTATTGCTACTCACCTATTTTGGAAATGTTGTATCTTTTGTGATGTTAGGGTGGGTGATTTCATTTGTTAAGTCCTATACCCAGACTTGGGGTTACACTTAGGATTAGGACAGGCGGTATAGCCATGTTAACTATGAGGTAGTAATCCCGAAGAAAGAGGCATGATATCCCCCACTCAGTGGAGGTCCCTTTGACTATAGTATTTGTTTACCGAGTAATCAGGAAGACATTACTGCTTTTGACCTGGGAGCATGCAAAGTTGAGAAGTTGTAGAACCCTTAACCCATCCTGGCCTTTTAGATGTAGTGCGGATACTATGACAGAGTAATCTGGAAGTAGTTGTCACGCGATGCTGCACTTGGACGAGTTTTTCCTGTGAATATTACTAATTAACGAGTATTTGAGACGTTGGTAATATCCAAAGGAAGAGCGTAAACTCTAGGATTTCCCTAGAGCCTTGATCGGCAGGTGATGAACCCTTAGTACATACCTTACAGGTGGTTACCTTGAGTCCATGCTTGTGATGTCAGACCTTTGATCCTGTTACTTTCATTTTATGCATCTATACAGTGGTTATCCAGAATATGTGGAGCTGAATTACCATGCCATAGCATACCATGACATCATACCATCATGTATATGCATCTCATATCTAAGGAATTCCAAAGACAAGTCTTGTTGGTTGAGCTCTTCAAACAATAAAAATTGTTAAAAGACACTTATGGGTAGACGAGTCTTTGGTTTTCCTCGGAAATAAAGATGAAACATGCATTCATTATTCAAAATAAAAACTTATTGGGGTCCCTTTTCAATCAAACTTCAATGAACAACAAAAACGACTTCCCTACATCCCTACCATACAAGAAGCAACTAGCAAAGACTCATGGATCTCTTCGAAGAAAATCTGAATGATCTACGCCGAGATATGGACACCATCGGAACCTGAATAGATCAACTTAAGGAAACCCCTCATGCTGTCATCAAGGGTCAAGAAGAGCTACATGAAGGTGTTGCCAAGATTGCCACTACTATCCCATCCACTTCTACAAATGGAGGTAATAATAATGCAAATGTTGAGACCCCTATGGGAATTCCTCAGAATAATATTGATGATCATCATGATGTCATTGATCTTGATGAGCCCCATGCGAATCTCGCCACTGGAGTTGCCGAAATTGCAAAAATGTATCATACTCTTGAAGAGCATCTCAAAGCTATGGAAGGTATCAAGACTTCAGGATTTAATACTGCTACAATGTGCCTCATTCCAGGGGTACTTATTCCTTCCAAGTTAAAAGTTCCTGATTTTGACATATATAAAGGCACCTCCTGCCCAGAGACTCATCTTCGTTCCTATTGTCGCAAGATGGCTGCTTATGTTGAAAATGAACCGTTGCTCACACATTTATTCCAATGCATCCTAATATAGACACCATTGGACTCGTATATACAATTGGAAAGAACTCGTGTCAGTACTTGGGGAGAGATTGCTGACGCCTTTTTGAGACATTACCATTATAATATTGCCATGGCTCCCAGCCGCACTCAGATTCAAGGGATGACACAGAAATTCGAAGAATCTTTAAAAGAGTACGCCCAGAGGTGGCGTGAACTGGCAGTAAGGGTCCAACCTCCTCTCTTGGATTGTGACTGGATTGATTTTTTCATGAGTACTCTACGAGGTCCTTATCTCCAACACATGCTCAACAATACCTCTACTTCTTTCTCTGATATAGTTATTATTGGAGAACATGTTGAAACTTATATCAAGGATGGAATGATCTAAAGTATCCCTAACACTACCAACAATAATACTGGCAATGGTAGGAAGTCATTTTCTGGTTTTATCAAGAAGAAAGAGGGTGGGACTAGTGTTGTCACCATCGACAAAGTAAAAGCTCATGTGTATCCTCAAGTTCAATTTCCTTATTTCCTAACACATGCTACCGTTCCTAATTAATATATTCCTCAAATGTATGCTGCTACAACTCCAGCACCTTGGATTACCCAACAACGGCCTTTTGTTCCTCAACCACAGTATCTTCCACAACAATAATTTACACCACCTCTGAATTATCAACAACAGAATCAGCGACCTCAAGGTCTGAGAGTTCAACAGAGACGAAGAGGGACTAGAAGGAGATTTGATCATATTCTTATGTCCTACGCTCATCTTCTCCCTCAATTGCTTGCCAATCAGTTGGTTCAAATGTGTGAACTTGGTCCACCACCTAATCCTCTCCCAAGGGGGTAAGATATTAATGCTTATTGTGAATTTCATTCTGGAGCCCCAGGCCACACAATTGAGATTTGTAGAGTATTTAAATGCAAAGTTCAAGGCCTCCTCGATGCTAAGACCATAAATTTCAACCTTGTTGGTCCCAATATTCAGAATAATCCCATGCCTCCTCACCCAAGAGAAGCGGTCAATGCTATTGAAGAAGGTAATGAGCAGATTTTGGTAACCAAGGTTGACAAGATCAAGATGTCACTGGGGACTGTTAGAGAACATTTGTTGAAGCACAAGGTGCTGCAAGAACTCCATGATTTATGCTTACTATGTTCCTCTAAACCTGAAGAGTGTGCTAGTTTGAAGACGGATATCCAACAACTAATGGATGAACATGTCCTACAGGTAGAGAAGATATTTCTAGAAGAAGAGATTGATGTCTTAGAAATTCCTTATTATCTGAGGAACATCTCGGTAACACAAGGCACCCCGTTGATGATTCAGGCTCCCTCTCCCCCATTAATGATTCAAGCTCCAGTTACCCCCGTGATAGCTCAAATCCCTATTCCTCCTTTGTGTGATAACTCAAAGGCAGTTCTGTGGGAGTATAATATGGGATATATTATTAGGAAATATGAGTATGCCCTAGTGGGTGACAAGAATATTACCAAGATTGCAGGAACCACTAACATGACTCATAGTGGCAGGGTTTTTTCTCCCCCACCACTTCCTCCCAAAGAAACCAACAGTGATGCTCTAGCCAAGGCTAGGGGAAAGCAAGTAATTGCTGACCAGACTGAACCTTCTTTAGGTCAAGAAGTGGAGAAGATTTTGAGGATTATTAAGTGAAGTGATTACAAAGTGGTTGATCAACTCAACCAAACTCCATCCAAGATCTTCATTTTTTCCATTATCTT